AAGTAATGCTTCCTAAACTGACAAGATTTTACATGGACTGCATGTTGCCTGAAATTGCGGACAGCAGAATTGCAAGGGAAATGAGAGTTAGAGACCCTGACTACATAATCATGGCCCAGGAAAAACGAAAAAAGTTAATTAGGCCTTCAAGTTTGTGACTTTTTTAAGGTTTTCATTATAAAAAATATCACCATTCTTATTGTTTATTTTTGATGAAATACATTTCTCTTGTGAATTCTAAGTTTACTATATTTTATTGTAAGCCTTAATCAAACATTAGCAAATACAGTAGTTTATTCTGGGTTTAACTCATTGGTTTTGTTTAACATCAATGAAAAAATATTTACTGTTTTCAATACTGCATTCACTTATAATGTTTAGTAACATCTTCATTCATTCTTATAGTGTTTAATTGTTATAAATGAGAGAACATCTTATTTACTTTTAAAAATGAACATAGGCCTTACTTAAAACCATAATGCATGTTCTTCAAACTAATAATATAAATAAATAATGACCAATTGGAAAAATGTCTATACAGAGTTTACGTTGGCTGCCAATTTTAACTTTTATATCGCTTGGCTAATGGTGCTGCATGTGCCGCGAGAGCCTTGTGTAGTTGCGAGCACTCAGGTACAAGGGACGGACTAGTGACTGGTGAGTGGTGTGGTGTGGTTGTGGCTGTGGCGTTGGTGCGGAAGGTGCGGCCGTCCCTACTCCCCCCTACCACCCACCCATCCCACCCCCAGCTAACACACACAGTTCCAGCAGCCTCCGAACGGTACCCCCAGCGCGCCGCGTGGCGACTCTGGGAACTACGGCATCTCACTGTGAGTGTCTGCTCGCGTCCAAACACCCTTAAAGCAATGTGCTGAGATTCTTCTTGTGTAGGCCGGAAAGTTGGCTCGATTTTTATCTTTTTGGTCTTGGTTCTTACTTTTAAGGCAGTATTCCTCTGTTTTATCGATGTCAACTTTGCATCTAGGTTTTTCAGGCATTGATCAGCTACTTTTAAACTCTCCGGGTTGTCAATTTACTGTCAATACAAATACAGTCTGAACCAAACTTTTTCAAAAGTTCTCCAGTCATTATTGCAAGAGCGAAATCGTTCTTGGCGAATGTGGCAGTTTCATCAACCCCTTGTGGTTTATATAACAAAACACAGTCATTTTCACCCTTTTGGCCTTGTACCCATGCTTCGACACTAATGGCATCGTTCGAATGACGCATAGTCTCATTAAGACCGAATTCTTTTTCAATATTATACAGATCTTGTTTCGTCAGTAAATGTATTCTTTTTAGCGAGTTTGGTTGCAAAGTTGACCGAACTTCTTCAAGTATTGTGCCAAAAGGAATTTTATTTGATATTTTTCCGGCGATATCTTGACGTTCATCAAAGGTCAATGGTTTGTGAGCTAGGTCAAAAGTGTGGCCTACATGAGTCTCACAGTACTCTACTTCGACATTTCCACTTTCAAAAAACGTTGCCTTTATTGAGGAAGGACAGAAACCATTTATTTTGCAGGAACCCTGTATCTTTGTTTCCCTTTTTCTTTTGCCGGATATAGGCTTAGGTTCAAAGTTTCCCGATCTATTGCACTTAAAATCAATTCTCTTCTTACCAGATAGAATCCTCTGTCCTGTTTGTTTTGTGAACAACACATTTTCCTTTTCCTCCGTCTTGCTTTTCCAAGTGTAGAAATCTGACGCACTAGAAAAACTAAAAACTGACTTGACAAGTTGAATTTTGTGCAGATCTGCAAAATGTGTCTCTATTTCCGCTCTACTAAATGCACTGTTGCATACGCTGCAAATTGTATTTATTTTTCGGTATATTCTTTTCCCCCTCAATGAATTCGTGAACTTCACGAAGGTGTCTAGACAAAACCCACCGATTAACAAAAGTCTTATCGCAAAACTGGCATACATTCATTGTTGACACCACGCGACAGACAGCATCGAATTTGACGTTTAAGTTCGGCACTGCTCGGTAAGATTCGGAAGCGTTCGGCACAGCGCAGTAGTGGGGGAAGCGTCGTTCCGATTTCAAATTCCGCTGTCCCGTTTCTAGACAGACGAAAAAAAGAGCGGTGACGGTCTGACGGCAAGGTCTCCTTCGGACTTGCACTGGCACTACTGGCAGTCTAAGTGGTGAGCACTTTTTCACCTCAAATTAGTTGACGAATATCGATACTGGAAAATTGATACTTTTACAGCTCGATTGTTTTTAGAATTTAGTACATCGCGACATCGATAGTCCACTCCCACTCCATCCATTCCCGTTCTCCTTTGACTTGTGACTTGACAGTTTGAATTTAATAATGGTAGATTTAGGAAAGAACATATAATTGTAGCGCCTAGGGACGTAATGTCAATTTTTTAAGAGAATACATACATTTGTTAATACCTTACGAACAAATTCTTCTTCTGTTTCTATTTATCAGTAGATAGTAATGGGAATAAAATTCAATGTCAACAGTTGAAAAGCTTATTGCTAAGGTTATGTTCATTGACCAGAATTTGTTTTAATCAAAACTGAATATCATCAGACGGCAGATGGAAGCCATTTCTATTACCTAATTTGTATTATTATTGTTAGTATCAACCCAGCTCTTGTAAAAAATGCCAAAATGCCTCATTCCTGAGAGGGAGTGTAATTTACTCTTTTCCTTGCTTAAGACTAATAATTTTAAAGCTTAATGATGAATTAAAAATTTACAAAATTATGACCTTGCTCACAGTTCTTAGAAATTTTATTCCTGATTCCTTCATTAATCTTATTTTTTGTCTGGAGAATTATGACCTTGCTCGCAGTTCTTAGAAATTTTATTCATGATTCCTTCATTAATCTTATTTTTTGTCTGGAGGTCGAAATGATTATAGTACTCAAGAGAGTATTGAATTGAATGTAACAGTTTATTTAGTATCAATTTATTCAGCTCAAGGGGTCTCTTTTAGTTCCATTTAAGCAATGATAAATCATGTTTATTTTCGGGCCAAAAACGTCATTTTTTAATGTTTATGATCCATACCGGTATTTTTCTAGTAATCGTGCTTTAAGTCAGTCTCAGTCAAACCAATAAAATTTACTCCGATTCCGATTCGATTACTCTAAAACAATCGAGCCAATCGAGCGGTAAAAGTATCGATTTTCCAGTATCGATATTCGTCAACTAATTTGAGGTGAAAAAGTGCTCACCAGTCGCTAAGCTAGAGTCTAGCTTAGCTAGTCTAGTCGCTAGTCACGCACAGACACTACAGACAGAATAATAATGGCGTCTTTAACACGGGCGAAAGGGTGAATAGTGAATGTGACAGTGTTTTTACTTTGTTATGCCATAAACTGTAATATGGAAAGTAGTTAAGTTTTTAATCCCATTTGACTTTAAGCCAAGAATAGTGGTGGAACAAAAGAACTGCAACTGTTTTATTGAAACTGTTTCGGAGCTGAAACTGTTTCGCGAAACACCCTGTTTTAAACAGCTGCAGAACGGCGCCGCGCCGCCGCTGGTGCACTGCACACTTGCACAGTAAACGCTTTCGTTTTTGACAACTACTGGCAACATTTAACTGCAAATTAAATGAAACAGTTCTGGGGTGTGCTGCAGGTACGACTGGCTGTTGCAGTTGTAAATAGCTGCGCGTGAAATGCAGACAATGATCACATGTGATTTTCATCTATATAAATAAAATTACAGTTTTGTCTGTACATTGCTTAGAATCATGCAGTTTTTGGTTATTTTTACGTTTCATAGCCTAAGAAAGCCGAAACGAGTCTTATCTCAATTTCTGTCTGTATGTCTGTTTGTTTGTCCATTCTGTGACACCTCCTGTAACGCCAAAATGTCATTTTACACGGCCTACTCCTTGAAAACTAGAGTACAGATCAAGGTTCCAATTATTTTTCTGTATTCACTGAATTGGCGAGAGTGTCTTTGGCTATTAAAATATGGCCTAACTACTTTTGAAAAAATATAACGAACCATCAAAAACCCAATTTTGTTCGATTTTTGTCAAGTTTTCTCCTAATGTTTAGGCTACTATTACATTTTATGAAATAACGAACAGCTGTTTGGATCAGTTCTCACTTCTAGCTGTCAATGATATATAGCATTAAAGTTACAAGGATTACCAACAGGGTGCAGCAATATTATTATTTTTTAATTTATGACAACAGCTAATTTGCAACTAAAAGGTGAGTGAGCGTAGCGAACGAACTTCAACCTGGAGGCGAGTTAGAGTAGCGAACGAGCTAACCTGAAGGCAAGTGAGCGCAGCGAACGAGCTCCAACCTAAAGGTGAGTGAGCGTAGCGAACGAACTTCAACCAGGACGTAATTGAGCCATGCGAATACTTATGAAGTTAAACGGGGCAAAGCCCGCGGGTACAGCTAGTTTAATTTATTTTTACTACCGTACTGCATTTATTCCTACATTTCTTTCTTATTTTTTACATTATTGTTTTATTTAGTTAACACAAAATATTGTATCTACATATTATGTGTTTTTTTTTTTAATAATTACTATTATTTTGTTCTTTATTCTTAGATTATTGCAGTATTAAAATAAGTTTTGTTATTCCACAATTTTACTATCCCGTTTTGTAACACTTTAATCAAACGTCCTCATTTCCAGCAACGAGAAGTGAGTGAAATTGTGAAACAGGTCAAAGGTGAGCCCAAAACATTTCTCATAATTAATTGCAACTGCAACTACGAAGCGCTACCGCAGCTAACCTTTTGTCTGCAACTCTTTGAAACATGTAAGAATCGTCTGTACCACGCGAAACAGTTCTCGGTTCTCGGCTGCAGATAGGCTACGAAGCGCCAACGCAGCTGCAGCTAAACTGTTGTCTGCAACTCTTGAAACAGGTTAGAACGGTCTGCTGCGCCCAACATAGTATACGTATCGCTTCTAGCGGACACCGGACAATCTGTAAACTAAAGCTAACCTGTTGTCTGCAACTGTTTAATTAAACTGTTGTCGAGTTGAAACTGTTGCAGTTGCAACCTGTTGCACTTTGACAACAACTTATTCCACCACTGGCCAAGAATAATTAATCATCTCTACTTTGTTTGTTCAAGCAGTCAAGATGGAAGTCGTAAAACAATTCAATTCGGAAGTAAGTTTCAATCTTACCCTAAACTTGCTCTTCTCTTAAAATCGAGTAGTTTTACACACTCATTCAAAAGTGGGGCATTGCCTTACGAACATTAAGTTTAGTTTTAGGCCTAGTTGGGGTACAGTTTCTTAACTGGGCTATGCTAATGTAATAGGAGGGTCAAATATTGTGAAGAGGAAGTGTTTGGCAATGTTGTGTGAGTAGGCTGGTAGTGTTGTTAATAACTTGTTGTGCTGACCTACTGAAGGCTGTTGCTTTAAGTAAGCCAGTGCACTTGATCAAGGGGTCAGTTTTGGTGGGTAGTGTTGGTGTGGTGCACCAGAGGACGGGGTCCTGCTGGGGGAGCTGGAGCCCAAGGCCCTTGGCCTTGGGTCCAGGTAAGAAAATGTTAAGGGTTTTCAAAATTGGGGTTTAGAGTCTTTTCCAAATTGGGGTTTAAGTTACTAAATTATTTATACAGTTCCAGTCTACTCTACCTTTTTGATTGTTAGTTATCTCTGTGTTCTTTGTGTTGTTTTGAGTATTTAATAAAGTTGGGTTTTGTAAGCGAGTGCTGAGTTTCATTCCTGAGCTACGTCACCCAAAGTAGCAGTAGGTATTCCAACAAGAAAACCACCGTTTCAAGGTGATGGAAGCGCCGGGAGTTTTGTAATTTTTTACAAAACTTCGATCTTGGTACCTCTTAGAAAAATTATTGGCTTTAATTTTTGGGGTTCTTTTAGTGAAGAAAAATTTTGTTTTTGAATATACATTTTTTTTTTTTTTATTATTTGTAATCACCACTTTGGTGCAGTTTTAATCAGTTTTTTGGGAGTTCAGTGTGTTTTGGGACAGCAGTGAACGGCTGGAATGGCGTAAATGTGAAGTTTTACAGTGTTATTTTGTGTGAGTCTATGCGTCATGTGCGGGTCGCACGTGAGTTCGATATGTGTTCGTGTTGGGTTACACGAGTGTTCTATGCGTCATGTGCGGGTTGCACGTGAGTTCGATATGTGTTCGTGTTGGTTACACGAGTGTTCTATGCGTCATGTGCGGGTTGCACGTGAGTTCGATATGTGTTCGTGTTTGGTTACACGAGTGTTCTTTGCGTCATGTGCGGGTTGCACGTGAGTTCGATATGTGTTCGTGTTCGGTTACACGAGTGTTCTATGCGTCATGTGCGGGTTGCACGTGAGTTCGATATGTGTTCGTGTTGGGTTACACGAGTGTTCTATGCGTCATGTGCGGGTTGCACGTGAGTTCGATATGTGTTCGTGTTGGGTTACACGAGTGTTCTAAGCGTCATGTGCGGGTTGCACGTGAGTTTGATATGTGTTCTTTGAGTTTATTGTGTATTGTGTTTGGAAGCACGAGAGAAATTGTGTTATGTGCTGAGTGCACATGGTTGTTAAGCATTGCGTGCTGGATGCACGAGGTATGTGTTGTGCTGGATGCACAGGGTTTTCATTTGTTACGTGCTGGGAGCACAAGGTGAATTTGTGTTATGTGCTGAGTGCACGAGGTATTTTTGTGCTGTATGCTATGTGCTAGCTGTACAAGGTTTTTATTGGTCCTGTGCTGGGTGCACATGTGTAATGTGTGTTTCAGATGTTGTTGCTGTGCAGAAGTGTGTGTATTTGCCTGGTTAAATTTGTGTTGAATCTGGGATCTTGTAGTTCCCAGGTTTCTCGAAGATGTGATTCTGTGGTTGCAGACCTGCTATTTCTACTCTAGAGTGTATATTGTGCGAATAATGTGGCGGACACATGTTGTCAAACTATTCTGTTTCAGCTCTTTATGCGCAGTAGATGCAGTGAATGGTGGATCAATATATTATATTTTATAGAAGTAGTATGAGGGATAGTTAATTATTCATAGTGTATTATGGTGTATTGTTTTAGAAATATATTTGAGTTTAAACTTTAATTTGGTAGTAATTAATTTTTTTTTCAGATGGGGATTTTTACGAATGGTTAATACGGTTAATGATTATAGTAGGTGTTTATATGTTGATATTTCAGAGTATAGCACGAGCAAAGTTGCGGTGAGAGAAGTCAGCATGTTTGTAGGCTGAGGAATGCTGAGCGTGGTGTAAATGGCCTCTCTGTGACCTGACCTTGCTGAGTGCTGACCGTGTTTTGTTACAATGTTTACCTTTTAATACTGATGCTCTAGAGTTTGCTTTGGGAAATCAGCAATGCATGAATGTTTTATTTTGGGAACAAACTTTTGTTTTTACAGGTGATAGATTGTTGGAGAAATTTTAAAAGGGAAATTGGTTTTGCTTACGGGTTTGATTGTAACGATTTGGGCCCAAATCATTTTTTCCAGCAATTTTTTTTTAATGCATTTTCATTGGAAAATTATATACGCCGTTTTTAAGTGTATTTTTGATATAACACATTGAAGCTAAAATTTAACTTGTTTTTAATATGTAAGCAAACATAATTTCACTCAATGTTATGAGGAGAAATGACCAAAATGTTGGTAAACCTTTAAACATAAATTATGTAAGCTATATTGAATGGGGTAGTTTGAAAATTTTATACTATTATTTTGACAATGATAAATTGTGTTTGTGTTTTAAAAATGCTATGGGGAAGTCTAATTTTATTGGAAGATGATTTTGTTTTGTTTTTTCTTTGTTTATACTATTTTAGAGATAAATTGTATCATATTTCACAAAGGTGGCAACTGTATTGGGAAATAATGTTTTAAATGTTGCAATAGTTTCCTCTAGTAAAATTAACAGTCTGGCAAATTTTGAAGACAAGACAGATTATGTATTAAAAGAATATTTTATTGAGATATATTTTGTTTTTTTTAGATTTTTAATTATCAGGGACTTTAGTGTGAGACAAATTGTTTATTTAATTTTTTCAGACTTAAATTGCAAATTACCAGAAATTAGAGACAACTGTTAAACTCATTATTTGTTTAGAATTCTTTAAAAAGGTCATATTTGAATAATCTAAAGTAAATCAGTCAGAAATTATTAAAGGTTTTGTTATTTAATCGTATCAAATTTGTTAAGGTAACACATTCCAAACACTTCTCTTAGTTTCAATAATTTTTGTTTTAATGATTTTTGTTTTGTTCTTCATGTGAGTTTGAGAATTTCTTAAAAAGTCTAGGGTTTTTTTTATAAATTATATGTTGTATTTGTGAGTTATATGTTTGTGTAGGCTTCCTATTTACCCATCCCCACTGACCAACTGTAGACAAGGCTACAAGAACTTCATGATTTGCCGTGTTATCATGTGTTATCTTCAACATTGTGATCGGAGGATGAGACTTTGTCAAATTCAATGAAAACTGGGGAAACGCTGCTGGGGGCAAGGGCTTTTAAGAAGAGGAGAACTTCAGGCTGCAGTACACTCAATCAATGGCAAAAGCAGTCCAACATCATCGTCAACCAAAGTCGATTCATCATCAATGCTGTCAAGGAACGCTGGATGGACTACAGACTATAGACACCGAAGTGGGAGACATCGCAGAAGACATGGCTGTGGTCAAACATCTGAAGACCAACGACTGTTCGAGGAGGCTTTATCGACGCAACTGCTGAGGAAGTCCGCGAACAGTTGGTCAGTTCTTCCCCTCCTAAACCTTATTTTAATTTTGTTTAGGTACAATTTTAAAAGATTTTATCAGTTTTTGTTATTATTTTTTGTTTTCTCTCTGAGTAGATATATCTATGTAGTTGAGACGCTGGGGACATCGTCTGGAGGAAATGGGGGGATGTAATAGGAGGGTCAAATATTGTGAAGAGGAAGTGTTTGGCAATGTTGTGTGAGTAGGCTGGTAGTGTTGTTAATAACTTGTTGTGCTGACCTACTGAAGGCTGTTGCTTTAAGTAAGCCAGTGCACTTGATCAAGGGGTCAGTTTTGGTGGGTAGTGTTGGTGTGGTGCACCAGAGGACGGGGTCCTGCTGGGGGAGCTGGAGCCCAAGGCCCTTGGCCTTGGGTCCAGGTAAGAAAATGTTAAGGGTTTTCAAAATTGGGGTTTAGAGTCTTTTCCAAATTGGGGTTTAAGTTACTAAATTATTTATACAGTTCCAGTCTACTCTACCTTTTTGATTGTTAGTTATCTCTGTGTTCTTTGTGTTGTTTTGAGTATTTAATAAAGTTGGGTTTTGTAAGCGAGTGCTGAGTTTCATTCCTGAGCTACGTCACCCAAAGTAGCAGTAGGTATTCCAACAAGAAAACGACCGTTACACTAATATCGATTGAAACTATCGAATTGAAAATATTGATTAATAATCAATATTTTAAAATATAAACTATTGTAAAATTAAACTATCATAACCTAACCTAACCAACCAAACTTGCTGATGGTGAAAAAATCGCATGAAAGTTTACTAATCGAATCGATAGTTTCAATCAAATGATTCAAATGATTCAAATGATTTATTAGGCCATTCAGTGCATACAGGACAATAGGCTACGTCAACAATACAATAAATAACATGCCAAGCTTCTTCTAGCATTCTTGACTAACAAAATTAAATTAAAAGCTGAAAAAAAAAAAAAAACATGCAGGATCTCAATCAATATAAACATACAAAGCAATGCATGCAACTAAAAATAATAAAAAAAATGAAAACTACATGCTGCAAGCCATGCAAGGCAGAGAAAATTAAATAAATTTACATTTTTGTAATACCTCTACTGGACTACTGTGGGTTCAACCCAATAGTAACAAGCTGTGCATTCCAAAACTCTTTTATGGAATAGAAAGGATTGGCAAGCATCCAAGCTTTTAGTGTGGTCGCAAACTTGTTCGGTAAGAGTTGTCTTACAGTTATGGGTAAGGCATTGTAGAACCTTATTCCTGCAACAGGAAAGCAGTTGAGAGTTAAATCTAGTCTAACTCTATCTCTAAAAATATTTTCATTGTTCCTAGTGCTATAATGATGAACATTATTAACCAATGGAAAAGCTGATTCATTGTTCTTAATCTCTAACAGGCATTGGTAAATAAATACATTGTGTACAGGCATTATACCATGCTGAACAAACAGAGGTTTACAATGCTCAAGCTGATGGACTCCACACAAGACCCTGACAGCTTTCTTCTGTAGTTTGAGGACTTTTTGCACTCCAGGGGAGTGACCCCAGAGCCTAGTGCCATACAGAATATGAGCATGGAAAAAAGCAAAGTACGCAAGTCGAACAAATTCAAATGGCATGTCAGCCTTCAACCGTCTGAGCAAATGGATTACACGACTTAGCTTACCACACAGGATTTCAATATGATCGTTCCAATCAAGCTGAGGGTCAAGGGTGAAGCCCAGCAGCTTTACAGTGTTTTCTTTCCTCAGTTCCCTAGCATAGCATTCCAATCGATATTAGCATAGCCCAGTTAAGAAACTGTACCCCCTAGTTGTTTAAAACTATATGCCCTTCAAGTCTATTGATCTTCTCTATATTTTCTACAAGTAAATTGAAAATTATTGTATAGTCTATGCTTACCTAGGGCCTAGGCCTAAGTTACTTGGAGCTTTTCCTAAAAATGTAGGCTGTTCAATTAGGCAAAGCTTTGTAACTTGATGTTTGAGCTTTTCCCCGACAGTTCAGGCTACAAGCTTGTGTCCTAAAACATACTTATCTGGGGATGATAGGTAGGCTATTTTTCTCAAAACTAAACTGGCCGAAAGCTGATTTGCCTATTAACAACTAGGGATGTTTGGTCCCATAGGGTTAACAATACATACTAGCCTAACATAAGTTAGTAACCGTAGCCTATCACTATTTGCAACCACATTGACGTGAACCTGGCAATAACTCCAGCCATAAGTAGTGTGCGCGCCCGCTAAAATCTATTGCTGGCCGTGTTGCGGCAAAATACGTCCGCGAACCATATTACCGATAATGCCAACAGATAGAGGACACTTTAACGAACACGACAGTATCAAAACTATGTACCTGGAGAGTAGAATAAGGGGGGTAAAACCAGCAATAAGTTGTGCGCGCGCCCGCTAAAATCTATTGCCGGCGGTTTTGCGGCAAAATACGTCCGCGAACCATATTACCAATATTGCCAACAGATAGAGGACACTTTAACGGACACGACAGTATTAACATCATGTACCTGGGGAGTAGGTTAAGGGGGGTAAAACCAGCAATAAGTTATGCGCGCGCCCGCTAAAATCTATTGCTGGCAGTTTTGCGGCAAAATACGTCCGCAAACCATATTACCAATAATGCCACCAGATAGAGGACACATTAACGGACACGACAGTATCAAAATTATGTACCTGGGGAGTAGAATAAGGGGGGTAAAACCAGCAATAAGTTATGCGCGCGCCCGCTAAAATCTATTGCTGGCAGTTTTGCGGCAAAATACGTCCGCGAACCATATTACCAATAATGCCACCAGATAGAGGACACTTTAACGGACACGACAGTATCAAAATTATGTACCTGGGGAGTAGAATAAGGGGGGTAAAACCAGCAATAAGTTATGCGCGCGCCCGCTAAAATCTATTGCTGGCCGTGTTGCGGCAAAATACGTCCGCGAACCATATTACCAATAATGCCACCAGATAGAGGACACTTTAACGGACACGACAGTATCAAAATTATGTACCTGGGGAGTAGAAAATCTCCCAAAATCTAAATCTCAATGTGGATAAAACAAGTATCATAAATTTTCAAACTCGAACTACCAGAAATCAACGTCGACCGATTATTAAATTTAATAATAAAGCCATTGAAGTTAAGGATAGTACTAAATTTTTAGGATTAGTAATAGATAAAAGACTAAATTGGAACTGTCATGTTGAAGTGACCTCTATCTGGTGGCATTATTGGTAATATGGTTCGTGGACGTATTTTGCCGCAAAACTGCCAGCAATAGATTTCTTCGGGCGCGCGCATAACTTATTGCTGGTTTTACTCCCCTTATTCTACTCCCCAGGTACATAATTTTGATACTGTCGTGTCCGTTAAAGTGTCCTCTATCTGGTGACATTATTGGTAATATGGTTCGCGGACGTATTTTGCCGCAACACGGCCAGCAATAGATTTTAGCAGGCGTGCGCATAACTTATTGCTGGTTTTACCCCCCTTATTCTACTCCCCAGGTACATAATTTTGATACTGTCGTGTCCGTTAAAGTGTCCTCTATCTGGTGGCATTATTGGTAATATGGTTCGCGGACATATTTTGCCGCAAAACTGCCAGCAATAGATTTTTTCGGGCGCGCGCATAACTTATTGCTGGTTTTACCCCCCTTATTCTACTCCCCAGGTACATAATTTTGATACTGTCGTGTCCGTTAAAGTGTCCTCTATCTGGTGGCATTATTGGTAATATGGTTCGCGGACGTATTTCGCCGCAACACGGCCAGCAATAGATTTTAGCGGGCGCGCGCATAACTTATTGCTGGTTTTACCCCCCTTATTCTACTCCCCAGGTACATAATTTTGATACTGTCGTGTCCGTTAAAGTGTCCTCTATCTGGTGGCATTATTGGTAATAAGGTTCGCGGACGTATTTTGCCGCAAAACTGCCAGCAATAGATTTCTTCGGGCGCGCGCATAACTTATTGCTGGTTTTACCCCCCTTATTCTACTCCCCAGGTACATAATTTTGATACTGTCGTGTCCGTTAAAGTGTCCTCTATCTGGTGGCATTATTGGTAATATGGTTCGCGGACGTATTTTGCCGCAACACGGCCAGCAATAGATTTTAGCGGGCGCGCGCATAACTTATTGCTGGTTTTACCCCCCTTATTCTATTCAATTCAATTCAATTCAATTCAATTCAAATTATCTTTATTCATAAAGTAGGTACATTAAAAATATACATGAATAGTGTCACATTTCTTATAAGTTATAATAAAATTTACATGCTTATAGTAAATGGGAAAAATTGTAAAAGAACAAAAAACTAACAGTAAAAACATACTTTGATTAGTAGGGAAAGAAAAGTCAATTATAGTTCATCAAATGAATAAATAGCCCTGCTAATGAGAAATTTCTTAAGTTTGTTTTTAAATTTTTTTATATTTACTTCTGCTTGTATGTCCTTTGGAAGTTGATTATAGAATTTTGTTCCGGCGTATTTGGGTTTTTTTTCGAAAAGACGCAATTTATGAGGACTTAATGCTAACTTGCCTCGATTTCTTGTAAGATAATCATGTTTCTTTCCAACCAGCTCTATTTCATGAAATCTGTTTTTAACGGAGACCACTGTTTCAAAAACATACATACCGAAAACTGTCATTATATTTTCTGTTTTAAACTTTCTCTTAACAGAAGTTCTAGGTGGAAGGTTGTAAATTATTCTTATAGCTTTTTTTTTGCATTCTTAATATAGATTTTAAGTTTCTCTTATTGGTTGAGCCATAAAGGGAAATCCCAAATGAAATCACTGAATGTATGTATGAAAAATAAACCAACTTCAAAGTTTCTATTTCGCAATAGTTTTTTAATCTAGTTAAGGCATATAATCCGGAAGAAACTTTTGAAAGTACTTTTTCAACATGACAGTTCCAATTTAGTCTTTTATCTATTACTAATCCTAAAAATTTAGTACTATCCTTAACTTCAATGGCTTTATTATTAAATTTAATAATCGGTCGACGTTGATTTCTGGTAGTTCGAGTTTGAAAATTTATGATACTTGTTTTATCCACATTGAGATTTAGATTTTGGGAGATTTTCTACTCCCCAGGTACATAATTTTGATACTGTCGTGTCCGTTAAAGTGTCCTCTATCTGGTGGCATTATTGGTAATATGGTTCGCGGACGTATTTTGCCGCAACACGGCCAGCAATAGATTTTAGCGGGCGCGCGCATAACTTATTGCTGGTTTTACCCCCCTTATTCTACTCCCCAGGTACATAATTTTGATACTGTCGTGTCCGTTAAAGTGTCCTCTATCTGGTGGCATTATTGGTAATATGGTTCGCGGACGTATTTTGCCGCAAAACTGCTAGCAATAGATTTTTTCGGGCGCGCGCACTACTTATTGCCGAGTTATTGCCAGGTTCACACAAGTTGCAACCACAGATAACTTAAGTAAGATACAGAGAATTGAAGAGTATGGCACAGCCATGCAATCTTAGCTCTAGTATCTTGTGGCGGATATAGGTATAGCCTAACTTAGGCTAGGCCTACTTGTTATCCTACGTGAG